CTCTGCTCCCCTTCTCCAGTTCTGCTTCATTTGTTTGCTTGTTTCTTTTCCTTTTTTATGTTGCTGCTTTGCTCTCCCCTGTGTAGGTTCTCGGCTTCTAGCTTCTGTTTTCCCACTTTGTGGGTCTTTTCCAGATCATCTTAGGTTTCCCTTCTCCTCCTCTGTGGGTTGATCTTTTGCCCTCTGTTATGGTCTATCATAACTAAAGATGTCTCAATCTATGTAGCAACGGAGGATGGATTTATTTTGAATCTAGCTTGTTTCCTCATCTTCCTTTTCGTTTGTCTATCTTCTTGCTTCACCTTGCAAATCTCAGTGATTCGGAGATGATAGGCCTTCGGCTTGAACTCGGAGTAAAGATCCTAGCGATAGAAGTTCATCCCTCATGGCTCCCCAACCAGTTGTCCTTACGATCTGAAGTTTCTCTTGTTCCTTCTGACGGCAAGGGGCTGAAGGCGTCTAGGCTAGAGAGGGTTTGTTCCGGAAGCATTGTTGTGTCTTCGCTACCCTCATTTCGGGTTGGTTTGTTCCAGCTCCTCTCCATGGTGCTTGCATGTTTGGTTCCATGTCCCTCGACCTTGAATGGTGGCATGTGGGGGTGTTTGATTTTCTATCGACGGTGGAGGTGCTAGGGGGAAGCAGTGGGAAGCTAGGGTTGAGAATTGAACCGTGGGGCTATTTGACTGGGCCCTATTGGGTTGCTTGTCTTTTATGGGCTTGGATTTTTATTTTCTTTCTTCTTCTGTACATTGTGACCTTTTCATTTGGGCTTGACCCAGTTGCTATACAATGAACTGATTTGTCAAAAACAAATTGAAATTGTAGATTCTTTATTTGTTATACAAAACAAAAAAACTATTGTCGGGACGTTGATACTCCATAAATCTAGAGTATTCCCTAATATAAAATTCTAACATAGGGTATAGTTTCTAACACATAGTTAAGAGTTCAAATAATTAAAAGATTGGTGCATATTCTTGTAAAGTTCATAAGAAAAGGGCTAAAAGGCTAAAAACATTAGATGAGGATAGAGAAGGGGAAGTGAATAGAAGAGAAGAAGGGATAAACGTAATGATTGTGTTTGGGAGTTGTGATTCTCCAATCTAGCTGCAAAATTGCATTTCCAGAATGTTTAGTAATAATTTAGTTACTTCTGGAGAAACCGAGACGTGTGTGTCATGAGGACTTAGTAACACTATTTTCACATGATCATAAGAGACTATTGATATATACTTATGTTTGTATAAAGCATGATGGAAGAAGATGGAAGATCTTCTTCTTCTTCATGCTCGTCCTAAGAGACTCTTGATATATACTGACGTTTGTCTAAAGCATTATGGAAGAAGATGGAAGATCTTCTTCTTCTTCAAGCTCATCCATCTTCTCTTCCAATCATCATTCATTCCAATCCACTGGTCATGGATCTTGTAAGAGATTAAAAGGCTTAACAAACTCTTTCACAACAACTCGAGTTATTGAGACCAAGTGGTTAGTTCGCTAACATGGTATCAGAGCCTACGATAGAAAGGTCATGGTTTTGAATCCTCGTGATGACCCCATTTAATGCCATTTGTTTAGCACAAGGGATAGTATGTCCAACCTGTGCGAACTAAAGCCTCGTGGTTTAGCAGCACAAGGGTCCAACCTGTGCAAACTGTACAAATCCACAATTCGGCATCAGCTTTCGTTTGAGGGGGCGTGTAAGAAATTAATCATTTCCCAACAACTCAAGTTATTAGGACCAAGTGTTAATTCGCTGACAGATCTAGAGCACATTCTTGGTATCCCTGAATTCATCAGAATGAATTAACCATAATGCAAGAACCTAACTACAAAAAGTATAAGGATTAGACTATGCTATGCATAAAAGGATTAGCTGAATTCATGAGAATTGTTTAATAATTCTAATTACAGAATTGGCGGAGACAAGTCAAATAGATAAAAGGATTAGACTATACACAATGCAAATAAAAAGGAACAAGCTAATAAACTAAGGGAATATGAGTAGACTGAACATGGGACAAAATGTCTTGATAATTTTCTCACACATGTCTGGTTCAAGCTGGGTTACATAGATAATTCTTGAACTCTTGGTTCCCAAGGGGGCATTCATTGGGGAACAATTTTTGTTTCCATAGTTTTGCTTTGAAAAAATCCTAAAGTGTTGCTCTAAAAAAGAGCAAAGTAGAGAAACATTACCAAACTGGGTGTTGCAACTGTCATTCGGAGTAGTCGGGGGCAACATGGTGTTCGCTTTGCAGTGGTCATCGATTTTTTTGGAGTGAATCGAACACTCTTTGGTCGGCTCTAATTTTAGAGTTAAAACCGAGACTTGATATGCTATTTAGAGTTATAGATTCATGAGTACGATTATGTGTGGGGAAGTTATTCACACCCCACAACGCCCTACTTCGGTACTATTTAAGTTGATAAGCTTATACGCAGTGAATGTATGGTTGTTAAACCAGTGTTATGACAGCTAGTTGTACCAGGTTCAACTAGGGATGGCAATGGGGCGGGTTTGCCTAACCATCCCCATCTCCGCTTTCAAATATCCAAAACTCATACACGCACCAAACCCATGCGTGGAAGGTTTTGCAAAACTATCCCCGTACCTGTGGGTTTCGGGTACCCATGAGTAATACACGCCCCATACATCCAACGTTATAATGCCTAAAATTTTAAATGTAAATTTTCAATTATAACATTAAATACACCTACTATATCATGAAATCGACAAAGAGACAATCATTCTTAATACGGTTCAAAGCATCTTATCCTAAAACATCCATTAATCCATAAGATAGAGTACAATTAAATCTAAATTATTATTCTCTGACGTTGACACATTTAATAAGTAATAACTAATTAACATAATATTGTTAACACAAGGGAAAAAGTGAAAGAGTAAATGCAGAGTTGAGGAAATGTAATTATGTTTTGATTTGGGTGACCATTCAATTGCATTTATATTATTTATTTTCTTGATTTACCCTCACTATTATTGATAGGTTACATTTTGATCCATGTATATTTTATATGTGAAGAAATGCTCTTGGTGGGGCGGGAGAGGCTAAAACTATACCCACCCAATACCCATAAACGTTTTACGGGTTTTACCCATACCCGCCCCATACCTCGTCAATGCGGGGATATCCCATGTTGATTGGGTGGGAGGAGGTCGGATACCAGAGACCATGGGTTTGATTTTCATCCCAAGATTCAACCGGTACTAGTCACGAAACTGGCTGGAATGCCACCGATATTAAGCGAGGGTCAAATCCGGTCAATTTCGGTCACAACTCAAAATATCGGTAGTCCAATCGGCAATGTAGTAAAAATGCATCTTAAGACGCAAAAACACATGTTGTAACGTTTCTGACTAGGAAAAACGCTTATGTTTCTATAAAGACACGTATTCGTGTAAAAACATTTAAAAAGTGATAAAAACGCTCACAAACGTGTTTCTTATCCATTTTCGCATGTTTCTAGTTGAAGGAGTTTCAACCAATTTCACACCCTCTCCCAACAAAACAGCAATTAGAACAAGGATCCCTACGGGCAAATCAACACACAAAGAGTTTTGAACTTGTCCTCAAATTTTGGGGACGATCTAACAGTTTGCTTCTCTAGAATCCTCACTAAAACCAACTGTCCAGCTATAGGAAAACAGGGTTGCACCCTGTCTGACCAGTAATATTTTTTGATGATCCCAATAGGAGGATTGGATCCTAGAAAGTATGGTACGTGTCCGCATAATTTTAAGACGATCCAACCACAGGTTATATGGAAATCCCTTAATGAATTCTTTGAATTCCTTCTTCTTTCCTTCTCAATTCCCTAGCTCTAGTTCCTCCTAAATTTTATGGTTCTTTCAAGGTTTGTTGTTGGTGGTGATGAGGTTATGGGGAGTGGGAGAGGAAAGAAAGGACCGAAAAGGGGAAGGGGAAGGGGAAGACAATGAGTGAGGGTGCAGATTTTTGCATCTTCATTCCCTATAAATCTATCACCATTTCTCTTCTTTCCCAATCACAAATATCCAAATGGCCCAACAAAAAACTTGGTTGCCACTTAAACCATCCAACTTTTCATTAGTTGCAATGAAGCCCTTAGATTTTCAATTCACTTCACATTCTTTTAGAATTAAAATAATTTTAACCATAACCTAATTAATCAGGGGATAATCCCACTAGTAAGTCCAAGCTATTCAAAAAGTGTCATTTGTGTACTAAACAATTCAATATGACAAATTTGGCATGAACTATTTTTCTGTTAATGTTGACCGGCATGGACCATTAGTATTTAACTGAAAATCTAGTCAACATCTATGTGGTTTGTGCCAAATTTGTCATATTGAATAGTTTATGGCACAAATGTCACGAAAATCATATAGTTTGTGTCAGATTTGTCATATTGAATAGCTTAGGACACAAATGACACTTTTAGTACAGTTTGGGCTTCCCAGTGGAATTAGCCCATTAATCAAACACATTCCTCTTGTTTTAGTTAATCAATTGAATGATTGCTTCATATTTAAAACTCGCCAAAATATTGGGATGACTCCACATTGATGCCAGCATGACATATGACATGTTCAAGAGGGACAATGATGTTACACGACAGTTACATCAAGTGATTACTTTGTTGTTTGATGTACTACTTAAGTGATTAATATTTACAAATAATATGATTTCTCGCATTCAATGGAAGAAGAATCTTATGGTAAAAGAAGCCTTAGTAATTCTGTTTAATTTGATATCTAGATTGAAATAAAACCGCAGATAATGAAATGTAGTTGTTAATTGGTTATACTTTTTTATCAATGAAGAACCCTCATTATTTCCTTATTGCACTGTTGGTTTAGTTGTATGGTTGAACCACTATTAAAAGTTTCTCAAATTAGATTATTTTCATGAGTACTGACCTTTCTACATGAGACAGGTAGTTTGTTGAAGATTAATCAAATTATACACAAAAACTTACGATTTTACGCTATGCTTTTAGTTTTACGTTTTACTCATGTTTCCGCTTCTGCTTAGAAACGCGCATTTGACTATATTGTCGTGACCGTGTTGACTGTCTGAAGAACGCATGCCTTCTAGTTAGCTTGCCACATGAGAGATAAAAGGGGACAACTCTACTGATAAGGCGTTGTCTTCCTGTGCATCGTTCTGGTTGAGCCAGGATGTGACTATGACGGGGATTGTTGCTTGTAGGGCACAACTGGTCGAGGGCTATTGTCGCCTCCATAATGAGTCCAACGCAGGGTGAAACCAGTTGGCATGCGTATGTGGAGAAGACTGCTCTCGAGGCTGCAACTGCGAGAGCCTCAATACGTCGCATGAAATTCGGAAGTCTCGTCCCTTGATAGAACCCTAGGAAAAATCAATTTCGTTTCATCGATTCGCTGGGGGACTTCAACTCCAACAAAAGGCGGTGGCTTCTCTCGGGCAGTGATATGATGCGGCGAGCTTCCTCGCGGCGAACCTCCACATCGCCAATGCGGTGGGCAAAGAAGATCTCCATGGTGCCGACATGATGTAGGTTGCGCTAGCTATCGTCATAGGTGGCCAAGCTCGCTAAGGAGGCAGAGGAGACTACAATTCGATAAGGGTCTCGAGGCGGAGGGAGAAGATCAGGTCGTAGTCTTGGGCGAGGGCTTGAAAGGTGTGGTGAATTTGGCGTTTCAAGAGGATGGCACATCTAAGGATTGGGAGCACCGATGGCAGGCCTAGGGGAATTTTCTGGCAAAGGAGACGACTGGAGGTTATGGATTTTAGCACTAGCGCGCTGATTTCACAGCTGGAAGCGCGATTGAATTATCTCAAGGGCGAGGAATTGGGACGTTCTGCAGGTTTGCAGCAGTCTCTACATTTTTCCCAAGATAAGGAGGGTAAGATGAAAGCTCGATTGTCTCTTCAAATTGAAGAAAATATGGTGAGGAATAGCTAATATCCTTGCTTGCCACTTTATTGCAAAAAGATGATTTTTTTTTACGTGAAGTCCAGGATGGATGTTGATTGGTTATGATTATAGTGGCAAGAATAAAAGCTGATTCATGGCTTTCAGAGGGAATATCGTCCCGCCACCCCTACTGCAAGGTTGAAGTCCCCTAGTAAGATGAAATAATGAAAACTCCCCTGGTGCGTACATGAATGATAGTAAAGGACAATGGAAAATTCAAGTGAAGAAGACCTTGATGAAGATGAAAACAACAAGCTTCTAGTAAGTGTGAGGAGTAACAAGGAGGATGGAAGATGGTTGCTCTCCAATCACTATGAATTGCTCAGCAGCAATGAGGATATGCAGCTCTGCTCCAAGACAGGAAGAAGAAATGAAGAAGAAGAAGAAGAAGGAAGGAAGAGCAGAGCAAAATGACATCGCTAAGGGAAAGCATTGAATTAAACGGTGCACTTCAGCAACGGAAAGCCTTTTCGATTTAACTGTATAGCTTTACACGTGTTAGATTGTAAATGGTAGAATTTAACAGTTAGTTGTAGTTAGCCGTTAGAATACAGTGATTAGTGAAACTCTGTATATATATATATATATATATATATATATATATATATATATATATATATATATATATATATATATCGATTGATCATCAATGGAATGCTCATCAAACATTTTCCCCTATATCTGATTTCTTCTCATGGTATCAGAGTCTAGTTGCTCTTACCTGTGCTAGGGTTTCGCCTCCTGCACCCCTTCTTCTCGTCTTTTCCTATTCCTTCTTTAAGATCTTATTTTTCATAGCCGCTGAATCATGGGTGATGAATCATCAGCCAGTCCAGGAAAATCAACACAGACATAGATGGGTTCCTCTTCCTCCTACGAAGATCCCTACCTCAACCCCTACTTCCTTCGGCCTCAAGATGGAGCTCTTTCTACCATCATCTTCGTGAAGCTCGTTGATGGAAACGACCATACGTGGAGTCAAGTGATGCTTGTTGCCCTGGGAACCAAAATCAAGGTTGCATTCATCGATGGCACCATTCCAGTCCCAAAGGTAATAGATCCCACTTATCAGTCTTTAGCTGAAGATATAGCGAATAATGTTATGGGTCTGGAGAGTGCTCAGGCATTTTGGGAAAATCTGAAGAACAGATTCAGTCAAGAGGATAACATTAGAGTTTTCGATTTTGAGGGTCAATTTGGAAAATGTGTCCAAGGGGAACAATCAGTGAGTTCGTATTTTACTTCCATTAGTGTGATATGGGAGGATACAAGAAGTACAGACCGATTCCTACTTGTCCTTGCAATGGTCCTTATGAGACGATGAAAAGGTACCAGGACAATGACTTTGTAATCAAATTTATGCAAGGTTTAAATGAGATGTATCAATCTGCTAGGACTCAAGGTCTCATGAACTCTGTGTTGCCCTCCATTGATCTTGTTTTTATACAAATTCTGCAACTGGAGCGTCAAATGAAAGGTGTTAATAAAAGCAAAGGAGTTGACTCTATATCACTGGCAGCTGGTACATCTCAGAATGCTCAATCCAACGGTAGAGATTACAAAGATGGAAAGAAGTTCTGTAGGTATTGTAAGAAGGACAACCACATTATTAGTGAGTGTCTAAAATTGAAAAACAAGAGAGCAAGAGAAGCTGGTAATGCAAGTTTTGCAGGGTCTATTGAGACTGGGAATGATGCCGAATCTGGTATTCTTGGAGCTGCAACTAGAGGACCTGACACAGCTAGCAGAACCAATCTCAACAGTCTGGCTAGTCTGCAGCTCAGCAATGATCAGATGGACAAGTTAAGGATGCTGCTTCTTGGTTCACAAAAATCATCTCCTTCTCCACCAACATCTCCATCCATCAGGCATGCTGCAAATGCAGTTACCACATCTCAACAACAAGCAGCACCTACTGTCAATCTTCAGCATCAAGCTGCCAAACCAAGTGGCACTCAATACCACCCAGTATACTTGCCTTCAAGTTCAGGTACCAAAGCTCTCTCAACTCTCTTGGCTAAAACAACAGAACCATTATGGGTTTTAGATATTGGTGCTACATATCACATAATTTGTGATATGAAGTATTTCTTGAAGTTTAGGACACTACAAGGTGTTTATGTCAATTTACCGAATGTCAATAAGGTTCAGGCCACACACATAGGGATCGTTAGACTTCCCTGTGGACTTGTTATTTCTCAAGTCCTCTTTGTGCCTAGCTTTAGTTACAATCTTGTTTCAGTTAGCAAACTCACCAAAAACAATCTTGTCTCACTCCTTTTTAAATCATCTTTCTGTGTCATCCAGGACCTTATTACACAGAGGAGGATTGGTTTAGCCCAAGTGGATAAAGGTCTTTATCTCTTCAATGACACCAAATTCACCTTTGAAGACCCACATTTCACCACTCCAAAGTGCTTTGCCGCTTCGCAACTTAACTTTCAGCCACAAAGTTTTGATCTCTGGCATGCCAGATTGGGTCACCACTACATTTCTAGACTAGAAGCTATACACAAACAAAGAGAGAGAGGGCGATTTGAGGGCATTCTTGGAGTGGAATTGGAGGATTTCTTTGCCTTGGAAGCTCGAGGAAGAAGCCCGGACTTGAAGACTGATCATCTGAAGATTCTTACTGCAGTCTCTCTCTTCTCTATGGAGTAACTTCCCTTCACTTAGGTTTTGAGGAACCCTAGCTATGTTTGTTTAATTGGATGATTGTATGAGTACTCTGACTTGATAATCTTGAGTTCATATTCAATCTATGCATGTTTTCATGATTCAATTCTGCTTTAGTCGAGATTATTGATTCTGCTTTGATCCTATGAGAGGGAATACCTGATTAGGTCAATAGAGCACCATAGATTGATAGTCGTGGATTGATTGCTTTAGTCGAGGGTTGATTCACTGCTTTGTATCGATTGAGAACCTCTTTCAATAGAGGGATTCTAGTTCAGAACGCCTTGATCAGTTGTTCTAGAGAAGGATACGTCCCTCTAGGCAATTGACTCAAGAGGGCCTTGTTCCTTTAGTCGAGACTCAAGGTCTAGTCAAGGATTCTCCGCATTGTGAATGAAAGTGAAAAAAGTTAGAAATCATCAATCGTTAGTCTGCTAGTGGCTAGGGGGAATCATACCTAAGTGAGTTCCCAACCTGTAATTAGATTAACTTTAACTGTAGTTTTCTAGAGTAGTTTTAGTTCTTTCATCTTGATCTGGTTTGCTAAATAATAAACTGAAGCTGAGTAATAGTAACTCTAGAGACCCGTGGATTCGATATTTATTACTTGAGCCACTATACTGCAGTCCCTTCCATTGGTTACACTTGGCCATTGTTAGGTGTTGTGTCATAGCGAGTCAAGTTTTTGGCGCCGTTGCCGGGGACTTTCTAGAGTATTAGGAAAGGCAGAAGTTTGTTACTTTAGCATTTTTCTTTTCTTTTCCACCCTTGCTTTTCACTTGGGTGTTTTTGTTTTTGTTGGTGCAGATCTGAATCATGGATCCTAATAGCTTCTCCAATCATTGGGGGTATCCACCACCATCCGGGTGGTATTACCCCGATACCCCCTGGAGCAATCAAGGAGGAGAAGACTATGGATTCGGGTTCCAGTACCAACCCCCTTACTACGGAGAACAACCGGACCCCTGGGCATATCAAGAACAACCTCATTACCAAGAAGAATTTCTCCCACAGCCAGAAGGGCCATTGGAGCTGGAGTTACCCATGGCGGCCTTCACGGGCCATTCTGCAGAGCCATGCTACACTCCACAGCCAGATCCACACTATGAATTGAGGCTTCTCATGGAGAGATCATGCTCCAGGATGGATCATTATGTCCAGGCCTATCGTGAAACAGAGGAGATCCTCCTGAGCCTTAAGAAGAGCGTCGATGATCTTGAGCGATCTTGGGCGCAACCTGCTCCAGATCACCCTTCTGCTACCATACGAGAAGAGGAGGAGGACGAAGAAGGCTACAAGGACATTGTGGAGCACACTGAAGTTGTCACGGAGAGCTCCCGTGATGATCATGATCAGGAGTGTCATGTCGTAGCCGACCGCACCTTCCCACACCCCAAACTGAGCTTTGAAGAGGCGGGCATGAGTGAGGAGATGCAAGAAGATCTCATGAAATAAATTGCTTGGCAACTTGCTCTCCAATCCGTGCTAGAAGAAGAAGAAGAAGAGCAAGAAAGGGTGCAGAAAGAAGTTGTGGAGGATGACGAAAGTGAAGCTGGAGGAGTTCTTGATCATTTCCCAGGGGTGATACCACATGAAGAAAGAAGGGAGGTTGAAGAAGCAATTGGCGTCCAGGCTGAGGACGAAGTTGAGGTGGAAGAGGCTTGCACCGGCCATGAGTTGCAAGTGATATCCCCACCAAACTTTGAGGAACTGCTTAGCAAGGACCCATTTGCAGTGTTTCTTTGCCGGACCAAAGCCACATCGAAATTGGTCCCTCTTGGTGGACGCAATGGTGGCCAATCGATGCTGTCATATCTGGTTTGGGGCAATGAGACGAGAGAAGAGAAGAAGAGGTCTCGAGGGTGGAGACTTCATCTGCATCAAGTACATGAGCCTTCATCACCTGCCACACCACATGCTCGTGACTTGAGACTCCACCTCATCGCTATGATACAACTCCTGACAAAGGCCAAGTGTAATCAATGAAAGGGACTGCAATATAGTGGCTCAAGTAATAAATATCGAATCCACGGGTCTCTAGAGTTACTATTACTCAGCTTCAGTTTATTATTTAGCAAACCAGATCAAGATGAAAGAACTAAAACTACTCTAGCAAACTACAGTTAAAGTTAATCCAATTACAGGTTGGGAACTCACTTAGGTATGATTCCCCCTAGCCACTAGCCAGATTAATGATTGATGATTTCTAACTTGTTTAACTTTCATTCACAATGCGAAGAATCCTTGACTAGACCTTGAATCTCGACTAAAGGATCTAGGCCCTCTTGAGTCGATTGCCTAGAGGGACGTATCCTTCTCTAGAACAACCAATCAAGGCGTTCTGAACTAGAATCCCTCTATCGAATGAGGTTCTCAATCGATACAAAGCAATGAATCGACCCTCGACTAAAGCAATCGATCCAATACTATCAATATATGGTGCTCTATTGACCTAATCAGGCATTCGCTCTCATAGGAACAAAGCAGAATCAATAATCTCGACTAAAGCATAATTGAATCATGAAAACATGCAAAGATGGAATATGAACTCAAGATTATCAAGTAAGCGTACTCATACAATCATCCAATCAAACAAACATAGCTAGGGTTCCTCAAAACTTAAGTCAGTTAAGTGAAGGGAAGTTACTCCATAGAGAAGAGAGAGACTGCAGTAAGAATCTTCAGATGATCAGTCTTCAAGTCCAGGCTTGTTCCTCGAGCTTCCAAGGCAAAGAAATCCTCCAATTCCACTCCAAGAATGCCCTCAAATCGCCCTCTCTCTCTTTGGTTCGTCGCTTGGGTGTTTGGGATCCAAAACCCAGCTCTCCCCCTCAAAAAACGCACAAAACAGGCTTTTAACAGCCTGCGTTCGCAACCTGGTCGGGTCTTTT